ATGCAAGTTGCTAGGCAACCATTTTTCCCTTTTTTGCTTAGACTGCCAGGAATCTTTCACCTAAAATTCATGCCTCAAAACAATAACAATATTAACAATAGTTACATACCTTGATCAAAAAAATTAAACAAACAGAAAAAAAAACAAAACAAAACAGAACTTCTTGTGACATTTGGCTTTGTCCTGTATTGTAATGGTCATCATGTTACACTCAGGTCTTTTTTTGAGAACTTCCAGTCCTTTTGGAAGGTAGGATTTTATTTTATTTTATTTTTAAAGTTTATTTATTTAAGGGGGGCGGGGGGGGTGGGCAGAGAGGGGGAAGATCCCAACCAGGTTATATGCTGTCAGCACAGAGCCTAACACGGGGCTGGAACCCATGAACCGTGAGATCATAACCTGAGTCGAAATCAAGAGTCGGATGCTTAACCGAATGAGCCACTCAGGTGCCCCGGAAGGAACAAATTTTAAAATCAATACTGTCAGTTTTGTTTTTTTTCTGTTTCTCATCACATTTAGACTAAGCAAACACAACTCAATATCCAGCAACACTTCAAGTTGCGAGGGTTTTCTCCTCTCATGCCAGTCTCTTGGCCAGCTTTTAAAACACCGCAGGAATGCTAACTGTATCCTGGCAAGGAGACTCTGTTCAAGCCAAATATTTAAGAGAATAAACAGAAAATAATTTTAGAGCATCTCTAAAAAAGTCTTCTTGTCTTTCTCTGGTGGATAACAGAATATTCTGACAATCTGACCCAACCAGGGAAGCATATAAAGCCATTAAGATCCTTCCCTACAAAAACAAAATGAAACAAAACCCCCCCAAAACCAAAATGAAAACAAAGAAAACCCTGCACTTCATCTTTAAACATCTGACTTGTGTGCCTTCAGTTTTGCAACAGAAATTCATCCTTGACCTGAACTTCCAAATATCCCACAAACAATAATTAAGTCGCTCAAACCCTGCTGTGTAAAGGGCATTTTCTGACAGATGGGAAACCAAGCCAGAGCACAGGAAAAATTTGCACTCTTCCCGAGCCTCATGCAGTAAGGAGATTAGAGGCAAGGATTTCCATAACCATCCCTGGAAACTGGGGTGCACATAGAATCTCAAAAGGGCATGCCTGCATCATCAGTAGAGTACTGTGACACATTATTGTCCCAGTGAAGATGTCCAGTCTCCAAGAATCGTTTCCTACCTTGCTGACTGCCCAGGCTGACTTCCCCATTTTCTGCTGAAAGGTCTTTTTCTCTGTGAAGTCCTCCAGACTGCCATCCTCCTCCCACCGGGGCTAATCCCACGGTCATCCGTCTTCCCGTGACACCCACAACACCACACCACAATCGGCTGTCTCCTCTGTTGGTCTCTGCTGCTGGATCCAGCTGCTTGAGGTCAATGATCCCAGTTAATTCACCTTTGAATCGCAGGGCCAATCAGATTACCCGGTACACAGTAGGTGCTTGGGCAATCTGTGTGAATGAAAGAATCTAGTTCAGGGACTCTGGGGTAACCTCAGATTCTCTCATTCATGCAAATAAGGGCATGAGGCCCAAAGAAGTGAGGTGATTTTTCCCAAAGTCACACCAGAAAAGGAAAGAGGACACACAAAAACCCAAAATCTTTCCTTGCCAACCTGTTGTTTTCCATTATGCCTCCTTCAGGTACATGCCCTTCCCTCTGTGTGACCCTGGTCTCCTGTCACCACAGCTCAGGCCTTCTGGCTTAGCCTCCCCCTCCCCCACCATTTCTCAGCCCAGAATGAGGTTCCCAGGGACGCCTTCCAGCCTGGGGCAGGCTCCTTGCTTATCTGCTCCTGAATCTCCCAGAATCACGTTCATTTCTTTTGGAAAGTGTAGCCCAACTTGCAGTTTTCCTTTCAAACGTGAAATTATTTTATGAAGGCCTATCTTTCTCACTACAATAACAGGGCATGTCTTTGTTGTTTTTCACTGCTCGGTCGCTGGTGGCTAGCACAGGATGCCTCACTAAAATATTTGTTGAATGAATAAATCATTTTGGAACTCTCTGAAAATAGGCAGTGGGTCTGTGGTGCAAATATTCTGTCTCATGAACAGCAGACACACAATAAAAGGGGCAGATCATTCTGGCACAATATTAAAAAATATCTCTATTTTTACACTCAGATAATTCACTTTATAAATAAGAAGTAGCCAGTCCTTAAACACAGATGTCCCTGTTTCAGATTCTGGGAAAAGCTGGCAGCCTTTCTCTCAGTAGGCTAACGAGGGTACATGCTAGATATTTTATCATGGGAGTAAGACAAATGGGGACCACCAATATGATGCTCACAGAATTTCTTTCCCAGGACAAATTGAGATGTCTGTTGAATTATGTAAACCATTGTTTTCTATCACAGGAAGAGACACCTGACAGGATTATTCTTATTTGATATACCCATGGTCTTCAAAAAATTTCTTTTTAAAAAAAAATTTTTTTAACGTATATTTTTGTGAGAGAGGGAAAAAGATGAGTGCGAAGGGGCAGAGAGAGAGGCAGACACAGAATCTGAAGCAGGCTCCAGGCTCTGACCTGTCAGCACAGAGCCCAATGCAGGGCTCGAACTCACAAGCTGTGAGATTGAGATCTGAGCAGAAGTCAGACGCTCGACTGACTGAGCCACCCAGGCGCCCCTAAAAAATTTCTTAAAAGTATACAACCAATATTTGCAAATTTTATTCCAGTTAACCCAGAGAAAGTGCCAGGTCACATCTCTGAATCTCAAACCACTTATGGACTCCAGAAAAGACATGATAGCAATTGGATGTAATCTCTTAAACATTTCAACAGTCTGTTGGTTTCTAAAAGTTTTAGACACCAAAAATTGTTTCTAGTCCTAACTCTGGAATTAAACTAAAGAGTTAAATGGATCACTTCTATTATTGTTTCTGGCTATTTTTCACCTGTTTAACTATAAAGAAAAACTCTGCCAATTTATAGATATACTACCCTTGATCCTATAACTCATGGTGAGAAAACTGCCCTCCTTTGGGAGAGCAAGAAGAAAGTGTTGAAAAAGCCCTCTCCCTCGACAAAAAGCTTTTGATTACAGAACATCACTATTTTGGGAATGTTCTTAGCACATCCCGGTGAAGTACCATCATATCCTCTCCTCCTTGGAGCTTGGAAAAATGTCATACCACTCCTAAGTTGGGGTGTCTCAGAGGTGTTGGAGTGAGGCAACACTGAGGTCAGAAACTATGGTTATATACTCTGATTTGTCTTTGAGCAGATGTAATTGAGTTATAAATCGAGACCTAATTATAAACATAGTGCAACCCCTCTCTAGCCCTCCACTTCTTTTAATATTAAATAGGGGCATTATTTGAAGGTCTCCTTTATTGCTAGCATTCTGTGACTTTAACTTTGATTCTATTGAACTCCAGAGATAATCTCAGAACTTTTCTCTGGAAAAGTGGGGAAACGACCAGATGCCTCAAGGGGGCTGATTCTATCTGTTCTACCTCTGCTATAGATACCCAACACTGCCCCACATCTACCCCCAGCCAGTGCTTCACAATGGATCTCTAATAATTGTGAAGGTAATCTGGATTCTTGTTATGGGCTGAAGTGTATTCCCCCCAATTCGCTGTTCTGAAGCCCTAACCCCCAGTATCTCCAAATGGGACTATATTTAAAGACGGGGCCTTTAAAGAAATGATTAAGTTAAAATGACACCATTAGGGTGGGTCCTAATCCAATTTGTCTTGTGTCCTTATAAGAAGAGGAAGTGGGTGGGGCACCTGGGTGGCTCAGTCACTTGGGTGTCCAACTCTTAGTTTCTGCTCAGGTCATGATCTCAAGGTTGGTGAGTTCAAGCCCTACCCATATCGGGCTCTGAACTAACAGTGCCTCCTGTGTGCCCTCTCTCTCAAAAATAAATAAATAAACAGTTAAAAAAAAAAAGAAGAAATTGGACAAAGAGACATGAGGAACTCCTGTACAGAGAGGAAAGGCCATGTGAGGATACAGTGAGAAGAAAGGCGTCTGCAAGACAGGGAGAGAGGTCTCAGGAGAAACTAAACCTGCTGACACCTTGATCTTGGATTCCCAGCCTCCAATACTGTGAGGAAGTAAATCTGTTGTTGAAGCCACCCAGTCTGTGATATTTCATTAGAGCACCCCTAGTCAACTAATACAGTGCTGATTGATTCACTGCTTTAGATAACAACTTGGATCACAGATGTGTCTACATCTCTCCTTTGTCTAATGGGAAGACTTGAGTTCTAAAGCAGGAAAGTGACTTTTCCAAGGTCACATACTTGCGTGGTACCAGAAGAGACTTCAGATCAAAGCTCATGGGGGAAACAGGAACACTCAATACCCACCCCCCAACCCCCAGACTTTTTCTCTTTAAAAAATGCAGATCACAGGGGTGTCTGGGTGGCTGAGCATTCAACTTTGGCTCAGGTCATGTCTCGTGGTTCACAAGTTCGGGCCCTGTATCGGGGCTCTGTGCTGACAGCTCAGAGACTGGAGCCTGCTTCAGATTCTATGTCTCCCTCTCTCTCTGCCTCTCCCTCACTTGGATACTGTCTCCCTCTCTCTCAAAAATAAAATAAAACATTAAAAAATTTTTTAAAAATGCAGATCAGGGGCGCCTGGATGGCTCAGTCGGTTGAACGTCCGACTTCAGCTGAGGTCATGATCTCGCCATTCCCGAGTTTGAGCCCTGCATTGGGCTCTGTGCAGACAGCTCAGAGCCTACAGCCTGTTTCAAATTCTATGTCTTCCTCTCTCTCTCCTCGACTCACGCTCTCTCTCAAAAACAAAAAAACAAACAAAACAAAAAAAATGCAGATCATACAACAAACATTGACACTTGGCAGAGACATCCAGATGGTATACATCACAGAAGTTATACCCAGTATTTAGTCACGATGTCTGAAGAACTAATTTTATTTGTTTCTTTTGTTTGTTCTTTTTTTGAGGATCAGAGTCCTATTTAGGAGCTTACTAAAAATTTACCTTTCCATATGCTAGATGTTGCCTGTGTGATTTACCTCCTCGGTCATCGTACATAGATCACCAAGAAACTGTAAGAATATACAGGTGCAGACTCAAGGTCCAGCTCTATCACCACCATTGTGGAAAAGCACTGTACATCACAGGACAGAGCCCCAGTCTCCTCTGTGGCACCTGGACAGTGCCCAGGGACAGTGACCTCCCAGGAGTGTCCACGTTGGATAAAGAAGTGATTTTATGTTAGGATTAGAATATTTCACCGAGGAACTAAGAACACGTCTTTAAAATATGCTCTGCTTGTGCCAGAACTCTGTCAGCATCTACTGAGCGGAGTGTGGGACTAGGACTTCTTCCTTCATTTTAGAAGGCCAACAAGTGTCCCCCAGAGTGCTCTCCATAGCTATCAATTCTCCTCTGTGCTCCTTCCTTTCCCAAAAGAGCCTCCTGAGATCTGTATACATGGGGAGACACTTAAACAGAAACATGCCTAATTTTGAGACTAATACCAGGCAGTAGACTCAACATTTGCATTGGAACCTCTCTTCTCTGTTCTTGGTCCCACGCGATGCCTGAACAGACAGTCTCGAGCCCTGGTCTGACATGGGCTCCATGCCAAGCACAAAATGGAGCTTGTAGGGGGCATCGAGCTGCAGATCTGACAACAGTTTTTCATTCCAAGGCATGCTCCCCTATCACGGAAGACGTTAAGATGAGGCCCTACAAGAGAACTAAACCAAATTAAATCTTCATGATCAGAACTGAAATAAGGGGAAAGTGTTCTAGTTCACTGGTTCCCAAACAGTACTCCTTGGACAAGCTCAGGCTGTCTACATCTGAATCCTCTCAAAGGGGTTTTTGGAAATGGAAATTCCAAAACCCTGTCCTTAGAATGTTCCATTTCATGGGCCCGTGTGGGGCCTTCGATTGTGGGTTTTTAAATGATCCCCCAGTGATTATATCATTTGGAAAACACTCAAAACTGCTGTAGATTTTCTCAGAGTTGAAAGAAAACAACAGAGAAATAGCTGGTGTCCATAAATCACAGTTTGTATCATTGAGTCAGTAACATCAACGACATGAAGCATAGGCCCGGAGCTCTTTGGGGTTCGTATCCTTTCATTTCTATATTACTTTGTGTGTTATTACATAACACAACACCCAGAACTTAAAACAAGCATTTCTTATCTTTCAGTTTCTGTAAAGTGGGAGTTTAGGCATGGTGGGGCTGGGTATTTCTAATGCAGGGTCTTTGGTGAGGCAGCTGTTAAGTAATTAACTGAAGGCTTGACTGGGGTTAAATAATCCATTTCCAAATTCTTGACTAGAGGCCTCAGTTTCTCACCACATGGGCATCTCCATAGGACATCCTAAGTGTCCTCATAACAGGGCAGCTAACTTCCCTTGGTGTGAGTGATCCAGTAGAGAGAGCAAGGAGGAAGCCATGATGCCTTTTATATCTAGTCTCTAAAGACACACATTGTCATCTTTACTTTTTTCTACTTGTTAGAAATGGGTCACTAAGGCCAACCCACATCCAAGGAGAATAGGCTCCATCTTCTGAAGGGAATGTCAAAGATTCTGTGGGCATATTTTCAACTACCATGATTTCCAGTGTCTGTCAATGTCTGTCATATTCTGAGAATGGAATGGAAACTAGAAACACAAAAGCGTCTACGGTCTTGACCTCATGAAATAGGGGAGCAGGAATGAAAGAAAGAAGCAATAATAGAACCAAAAATATATGATTCCCCTTTTATGAAGTCAAGCTAGTGAATGCGCAGTTAAGTTAGGGACAGAGGCAGGGAAGTGTACTAAATTAGAAGTCAAAAAGGCTTGGGTTCTTGGGCGATAAAAAAAGCGTTGGGTTTGAAATTCTGCTTTCCCAGTTTGAGCTAGTTACACCATTTAGTCACTGAGCTACTACTACCCTCTCTCTTTACAAAATGAACAGGACTTACTTCTTCATGGTGGTAAATGAGCGGACTTGGGGGCAGGGATGCTGTGAAGTCAAAGACAGAACCCATGCAGTACTGGGCAAATAGCTAATGGCTTTACATACTAATAACTATGATTGTCACCATGTTTGTTGTAAGTGAGGGTATATGTATCAGAGGGTAATGAGGTCAGCATGCCAGGTCGCTTAATTCCTTTTGCAAGTATCCTCTCTGGATTTGTGTACTTTCCCTCCAGGGGCAAAGCAACCCTTGGGTGCTAAGGAAATCCTATCAAAAGGGACACTCCTCTTCCTGCTCCAAACTGTGTTTTCTTTCTGATGTCCGGTCTTACCCGCGGCATTCCTAGGAATTATGTCTGGGTAGGCCCTGTAAAATGTACCTAAACTGACCAAAGCCACCTGACCAGGTAACTTCTCTCAAGGACTAATAATTGCTCCCCTGAAGTTTTAAATGCCCATTTATATTGGCAGGGGTGAGAGGAAGGAACTGCAAATAAATATGGACGTTTCTGGAAATATTTTGTGCTTGCAGGTATGTCTCCACATGAATATTTAAGTATTATTTGCATATAGATATAAGCGGACATGGAAACAAAATAGTGAGAGAGAATACTACCGTCATCAGAATGGGAACTTCCTCAGAGCTCCAGAGAAAAGAATTTGACTCAGAGTACAGCTGCTCAACATAATGTCAATCTGGGGCACCTCGGTGGCTCAGTTGGTTGAGCGTCCAACTTTGGCTCAGGTCATGATCTCATGGTTCACGAGTTCAAGCCCTACATCAGGCTCTCCTGTCAGCACGAACCTGCTTCAGATCCTTTGTCACACCCCCCTCTCTCTGCACCACCCCACTCGTGCTCTCTCTGTCTCTCAAAAATAAATAAACATTTGGGGCACCTGGGTGGCTCAGTCAGTTAAGTGGCAGACTTCAGCTCAAGTCATGATCTCACGGTTCACGAGTTCAAGCCCTGAGTCAGGCCTTGTGCTGACAGCTCAGAGCCTGGAGCCTGCTTCAGATTCTGTGCCTCCCTCTCTCTCTCTGTCCCTCCCCCGCTCAAGCTCTGTCTCTCTCTGTCTCAAAAATAAATAAACATTTAAAAAAATTAAAAATAAATGAATAAAAATTTAAAAAAAGAGAGAATGTCAATCTATGCAGAAAACAACTTATAACCACCTCAGAGTATGAAAGTGTCTAAGAAATCTCATTCCCAATTCTTTTTCAAATCCCTTTCTCATCCTCTCCTTCTCCCCAGTGTTTTTGGACTCTTTGAAGAGATCCAAGAAATTCCGCAATTTCGGGAAAATGCACTGTGGCGAGACATGTAATATTAAACCACCCTATGACCGTGACGGGAAAAAAAAATAAACAATGAAAAAATACCCATGTAGAGATAAAAAAAGAGCTTGAAAAACCAGTACTCAAAACTTTTCCAGGCCTAAGGGGTGGAGGACATACCTAAATCAAGAAAAAAAAAAAAATGTATCTTCAGCCAGTAAGTCAAAAACCCAAAGGACCATTACTAGAATAAGTCTAAATGCCCCCTGCAGACATAAAAGATGATCATGAGAGGGAACACAAAGCTCGAGGTGTTCAAGTTTTAGAAAGCCACCTGTCGTGTTCCCCTTTTTGCAGAGAATAAAGGAAGAATGACTGAAATTAGAAACACTTGTACTCATTCCACATTTTGAAAGCCAACTATGGGGGCCAGAGTTTTGTTCAAAATGAAAAAGAAAATCAAAGCTCCTTTAATTCCACCACCATAACTCTGTGTTCAAAGGTACAGCAAGGACTTTCCTTTTCCTTTTTTCCCCTTTTTTTCTTTTCTTTCCTTCCCTTTCCTCCACCCCACCACCACACCAGGCTCCCTGTGGACGGAGTCATGGTATCTAGGACGATTTATCAGGAGATATTCCAATTTAAATTATGACTTAATCCCACAAAACCCAGAAGACCAAGAGTCTGTTCTCATTTTGTCTGAAACACATGAGCAAGGTTTTGTGATAGGCAGTGTCTTGTGTGTCTTGCGGTAGAAGGTAACAGGCGAGACTTCCTGGGATGACCACACAAGAAAAACCTGCTGAAATGTGACACTTGTACGGGCCTCTGAAGCTCCCTTGTTTGGTAGAACAGGCAGATAAATCAGGGGCTTCACTTAAACAATTGCTGAACAGATGAAAGCCCAGAAGATGAGATTTCAATTGGTTGGGACAATCTCTTAGAAACTTTTCCCATCTTGGAATTGCTTTATACAAATACTTCCCTATACCGCTGGCTGCCCCCAAGTTGTTCCTCTAAATTATCACCAAAGCTGATAGACAGGATGCGGGTTGTAGCAAATATTTTACAGAAGTCATAATCGGCAAATCATGTGTAAAATGAAAAACAAAACAAAACAAAAAACACCTAAGTTTTAGATCAGAAAAGACCTGGGAATGAATTCACAAATTCTGTCATATAGTAGCTGATTGACTTAGATAACTAATACCTCTGGACCTTAGTTTCCTGCATCTGTTTTAATTAATTAGTTTTTAAAAAGCCCAACAGATTATTGTGAAGACGAACTAAGCAGCTCTGTGAAAAGCACTTTGAATGAAGTATGGGAGCAACAGCAGTGAATGAGACCAGTCTCTGATCTCTAATCATCCCTGGGACTAGCTGGAAAAACAACATATACATGCAAAAAGACAGGGCAGGGGCAGTAACCAAAACCCAATGTGGTCCCCAATGACCTCACTTTCTGTTAGTCACATCTTTGAGTGGTCTTCTTCCACAATGTACCACGGTTGGTCAATGGGCCCAACAGAAGTGATAGGTTTTACTTCCAGGATTAGGTTACAAAAGGCACTGCAGCTGCCATCTTTGTTTGTCTTTCTGATCACTCACTTTGGATAAGCCAGCTGCTATGTCATTGAGCAGTCCTATGGAGAGGACTGAGTAGAGAAGGTCTGGGGTCTCTTGCCAAGAGCCCCATGAGTGAGCCTAGAAGTGGATCCTCCACCCCAGTCAAAACTTCAGATGGCTGCAGTTCTGACTGACAGCCAGAATACAACCTCAGGAAAAATCCTGAACCACAACCACCCACCTAAGTCACTTACGGATTCTTGACCTTCAGAAACTGTGGGAGACAATATATGTTTGTTGTTTTACATTGTACAGTAATCTGTTACACGGCACTAAATAACCAATACATTTGGCCACACTAAGAGCTGCAAGGTTTGGTAGAAGAAATCCCTGAAACCTGGGAGTTCTTAGTCACACAAGTAGGT